GAATCTTCAGGTTTGGCTCACAAGGGCTGGCAGGCAGGTTAAGCTCATCCAGAGCCTTAGACTTGAGACAGGTTTCCTCTGAGCAAAAGGACAGAGGCAGATTAGAATCAGGTTTCTCACTTTGAGATAACAAAGATTCAGTCAGGTAACAGAGGCTCAGGTTTGCTAACCAAACTAGGTCAACACTGCGGCGTTGAAGGAAGGTCTGGCAGCTGCTTAAGTAGAGAAGGTCTCCTGATGGGCTGACAAGCTCCAGGTGTGCTGGAGGGCTCCAGCCCAGGAGACCCACGGCGCACTCTGCTGGAGAAAGGTGGTACATCCCCAGATCCCAACAAAGAGTAACTCTGTGCCCTTTATGAAACACCTCATGCAAAGTATTCTTTTAAGGTTCAAATATCCTGGTATTCTATCTTTATTTTGAGATTACGGTAGTGTTTTTTGCTAAATTTCAGAGTATGAATGGATTTTCACTTAGCACACGCACCATGTTTAAAAGTTTAATGTGTAGAGTAGCCTAATATAAAATAAGGAAAGTAGGAAGAGGGTGAATTTTGACATTTGTTTCAGAAATAGACAACATCTTTATTTTACTTAAGGAAAGCAGCTGAAACTTATACAGAAATAACAGTCGGATAGTGGAGTATCAAGAACTGGACACACCTACTTAAATGAGTTTTTGTTTGTTCTAGGGAAAACAAATAATGATTTATGTGAGGGTTATGAAAGAAAAGAAAATGTAGATCATGTTTTGATGAATTGCATTAAATATGTAACAGAAAGAGAGAGGATGAGGAAAGTAATTATGGAAAAAGGAAGAGAATGGAGTATTAAAGGAATTTTAGGGACAGATGGAGATAGAGAGGAAAATTTGGTTATTAATAAAGCATTGTTTTTGTTTTTACATAACACAGAAATAAAAAATAGAATATAGTGGTTGGAACTATAGAGCTACACAATCACGTACAGTAGGTGGTGGTATGCACCTATAAGTTGTTTGCAATCCATCAATCTAACAAAGAATAGGAATAGCTTTTGTAATACCAGAATTCAATATGAAAATAGGAAGCGAATTCCATAAGGATTATCAGTTTACACAGGGGAAATGT